ATAAAAGCTATTGTACCAAGTGGTGCAGCTGAAGATGATGGACGTCTTCAAGCTGGTGATCAAATACTTTGTGTTGATAAAATAAGTCTTATTGATATAACACAAGAACAGTAAGAACAAAATTATATAACAAGAAATCGAAAAAATTTTGTTTTTTGTTTTTATTATTTCAGAGCAGCTGAAGCACTTAAACAATGTGGACCATTAGTAACATTACAAGTTCTTAAAGATGCGGCTAATCGTCAAGGTCTTTCGGCTTTACTTGCTAAACCATCAGAAAATCATCATCATAATCATCAACAACTACAACAGCAATCACTTGCTCGTTTTTCTGCAGCATCAAATCCATCATTATTATCATCATCACATCAACATACACCAATATCATCTTCAACAAATGCTTTAAAAACTACAAGTAGTCATGAACGATTATTAACTCATAACAATGGACAACAACAACAACAACAACAACAACAACATCATTTTGCTACACTTGCTCATCCATCTCATCATCATCATATTCATCATCATCATCAACAAAATGGTCCACCAACAATAATACAACCTCGACCAACATCTCGTTCACAATTAACAAATAATTCATCATCATCATATGAATTTGTTTATAATGCTAAAAGTGCTCCAATTCATAATAATAATAATAATAATCATTCTCAACGTCTTATACAGCATGATAATCAACATCGATTAATTCAACCAGCACGTTCAGCACAAATATTAATTGATGAAGAAACAAATGATGATTTATTAAATGAACATACGTCACAACAGCAACAGCATCAACATCAATCAAATCCAAATCTATTTCATTCAAATCAAATACAATATCCATCAATAAATAATCGTAATCAAACATTTGATATACCAAAACGAACATATGACCATGACAATCATATTATTAATGGACATGACCATCATAATGACGAATATGATGAAGAAGAAGAGAATGATGATGATGATGATGATGATGGTGGTGACCTTCAACCAACAAATTTTATTCGATCAGCTAGTGAAAGACAATCATTTGGTGATAGAAATTTATCAACAGCACCACCATTAATCTTTCGAGAAGATATTCCACCAATACAAAATGGTTTTATCAATGGAAATCATCAAATAAAACCTATTAATCATACACAATCAGCTATTGGACCAACTATAGCACCAAAACCATTACCTAAACCTATGATAAGTACATTAGCATTAATCAAACAATCTAATTCAGTAAGTTAAAGATCAATTTAAAAATTTGTTCGAAAAATATCTTTTATTTTTGTTATTTTACTTCAGACAAATGATACAGATATAACTAATCGATTATCAAAAGCAAGTTTATCATCATCCTCCGATCATTTAGCTCCATCAATACGGTAAATTACAAACTTGTTGTTATTTTTCTAATTACAATATTCTGAATACATCATAAATGAATTATTTTGAAACTGTTGAATTGACATTCTCTTTCAATGAGCTTTATATCTTTAAAGACTTCAATCAAAAAAATTTAAACTAATTCCACTCAATTTAAGATATAAGCAATACATTTTTTTATAGGTCTACATGAGAGTAAATTTTTGTTCTACGAGATTTTTGATAGTTGATTTCTATGTTGAGACAAGAGAGATTAAGTGTCGTGAAGTTACATTTTTTTTTGTGGCTAATATTTTTAAAACCATATGTACTGAAATGATCATAAAAAATGAATGAAAATGTATTTCAAAATTTTGTTCGAATAAAAACTGCGCATAGGTATTGACTTTAATTTTAAATCATCCTGAGCTCTGTTCCTCTTGTAATGACGAAGTTATAAGAATTCTCCTGAAGGTCATAAATGAACTATGAATAAGCTGGAAGTCTTGTCTAGGTTGCTGCGTTCGGCTGAAATTTGTACTAGAAGCGTTTCTCACTAGGGTAACTCATTTCCGGAAATTTCAACCCAAATCGACAATTCTAATTGGTAAATCTGTTGTAAAGGTGAGGAAGATCTTGAAGAAAAATGGAAATACTTGAAAAAGCTTCGTCCATTTTATGTGATCTATTATAAATTTTGCTTTTTTTTTTATTTCAAGAAAACCACGTATTCAACAACAGGAACCAATGAAATTAGCAAATTCACGGCAAAATAATATAAGTGAATTACGTATAAAACGTATTAATGATTTATTAACTAAAAATGATCGTACAGATCACGAAGAAAAAGAATTAAAGTATATTACATTGAAAGAAAATTTTTCAAGTTTTAATTTTTATTCTTTTTTTAGTAATTTAAAATTGGAACATGAATTTGATCGACGTGTTGAAGAATTTAATTTTCATACAAATGGTAATGATAATGACGAAGAACGTATCCATATTATTCCTGTAAGTTCATTGAAAAAAAAAAACGAAAATCTTCTAATAATCTTTTCTATTGATAGATTTCAAATGTATTAACACTATCATCACCAAATGCAGCTGATGAAATGAATGAATTTGATGAGAAGTAATGAAGAATATATATTCATATCTTTTTTTTTTTCAATATCAATAATTTTCTTATTATTTAGATTAAAACGACGTCTTGAACAGTACGAACATGATCGACAAATTGAACGAGCACATGTAAATCGTTTACAAGCAAAACGTGAAGTAGAAATTGAAGCACGTTTACGTAAAGATCGAGTATGTTATTCAATTGAAAATTGTTTTTTTCTTTTTTGTTTTCTCACAAAAGAAAATTTTCATTTACTAAGGAACGTGACATACGTACTGATCGAGATATGCGTGACTTAAAAATTCGTCGAATGTCTGAAGAAGATCGATCAATTGAAGCCAAAAAAGAACAAGCTCGTTTATCAAAACATGTTGTAAATAAATGAATAAACAAAAGAATAACAATTTTATAAGTTTGTCTTTTTTAGCGTTTACCTGATTCACCACCTTTAACTAATGAATCAATGAAACATTCATCTTCAATTGGTCATATTCCAGCTACAAAGGATCATATTGATTATAAATTATCACCACCAATTCCACCTCCACCACCAACAAGAGATAGTTCATTTGTTGTAGCTAATAATATTAAACAATCATTAATGCAACGAACACCGAAGTAAAGATTTATTTTTGAAATTTTAAAAATATTTTAATATTGACTATTTCTTACAGTGATCATCAATTAATAAGTCCACCATTACCTCCTCCACCACCACCAGTAATTGAAACATCACCAACATCAAGTATTGTTGCAATACCTGTATCATCATTGCAAGCTGTTGAACGAATAACAGCTGAATTAACACGTCGTGATGATTTATATATTAATGATGATACATCAAATTATCAAACACCATCTGTTATTGGTGCACAAGAAGTTTATTTAGATCCACGTTTTCGTACTAAACGTTTTCAACAACAAAAAGATAATATAAATGGTATTAATAAAGAAAATTTAAATAATGATTCAAGTGGTGTTACAACAGAAACCATGTCATTTCGAGATAAATTAAAATTTTTTCGTAAACCACCTGATCAACATGAATGATTTTGTTTCTTTATGGATTTTTCTTTAATGTGCAATTTCATTTTTTTTTTTTCATCTTATTGTTGTCTGTTTTGTATACTCTAATTCTCCATTCTCAGGCTTGTTTCTTTACTTTTTTCCTTCTGTATATATTTATGACTTCAACTTTTTTTTTTTTCTTTTCTAATACTATCCCTTATATCAAATTAACAAAAAAAAAAACAAAATTAGAATTTAGATATGGGATAATCTCTCATTCTCCTTTTTTTTTCTCGGATATTAAATATATATGCCTATATCTTTATTAATATTGATATAATCGTTCAAAATAAAATACATTCTCTTACACAAATACTTTCTTTTCATTATGATAATCACAAGTAATTATTTTTTGATAAAATGAAACAGATAAATTTTAACTAGTCCGAATTATTATTCACATGATATAGTAAACATAAAGATAGTTATATATTTCATTTTATATCATTCAATACAATCAATTGTTGTTGTTAATGAGATACTTACTCAACTAAGAGCTAATTTCAATCATTTTTGATTGTAATAAATATCTTTATCAGTAATTGTTGTTACTTATTTACTCTTCTTTTCTTTTTCGTCTCTTAATTTCTATAACAACATTCTTCAAAACTATTCCATTACATACTTCACCTGTTCGATTACATTCAAGTTTACCTGCAGCTACCTATGACATGTCAATCTATTTGTTTAATTTGTGAAAAGTTAATTTTATGTATATAGTATGTTTGAATTTTGACCTCGAATGTTGAGACTATATTATTTTTTTTCGAATTCACCGATTGATTTCGATATTTATTCTGTTAGCGGTTAACATTGCACGAGCAATCTGCACATTATACAAAATAATCTAGAAGATATTTATTATATTGAGTACATGTGTGTATAATCGACTTTTTTTTTTATATGAAAAACATACTATTGAATAGAAGCTTGTGCATTGATGGTGAATAAATCATATTTACCGTCCTTGAATAGAATTTGTTGCACCAAAATTTAATTCCCACTGGCAATATTCAATGGTTGGTTCTATTGTATTCTATGTTTCTTTTGGACAATGATCGAATTTTATTTTCATTGGATTACTTCTCTATTATAACATTTAATTTATGTACGGTAAAGTAATATAAGTCGATAGGAACAAACTTGTAATAATAAAAAGCATATTTTCAATAGTTTTTCAATATTATTTGACTAATATATATGTTAAAACTAAATATTTTTATGGAAAAAAAAGAAAAAGATCAATGATTAAAAATAATAGAAAAACAAGAATCGTCATTTCTTTTATGCTGAAAACATGACTATGAAGAAGAATTGAAAAGAAGATGTTGACAATTATAAGATAAAAAATACAAAGATAAATGTGTTCGTAAGGCAGAATACCAAGTAACTATTCGATAAGACATTTGTGTACCGTTATTGTCATCTCATGAAATACATGGTAAGAGTTATCACCATCTCTTATTTCTCTCATAAAGTTATTAAAAAACGACAAGAGTATGCATATGAAAAGGTAATATGTAAGTATTTTATGTATGTAAACACGATTCATGGTCATGTTAAATAATGTAATGAAAAAAAGCAATCGAAGTATTTTTTTTGTTTGAGAACTGTATGTTTTTGTAAGTTATATATTCTCATGGAATTTGAAATGAATCTTTCTTGAAAGAAAAACATAGAATATTTAAGAGTTTAATTTGAATAATTTAATAAATGTCTAACAGTTTGTACGTATGGATAGAAAAAAAAAACGAATTCTTTGTATAATCATACCTAAATAATGTCCTTTTGTTTTTTTGTCAATACTATTTATTATCTATTTACTAACTATATGCATCTCTTTTTGTTTCATATTCAAACACTTTTTTTTTTATACCTTCATGTTTAGGATAACATTTTTCATAACACATGAGGTTTCCATTATGTGTTATATATATTACTGTTTTAGTAATTAATATTTGTGAAAGTATTTCGTATGGTCTCACGCTGATTCTTCTCATCATTATTGATGACATTCTTACTGATATTTTTCTAACTTGTTGTTATTATTATCTACACATATTCATGGTCATTTTTTTTTCATTCTTCTGTTGCTACAATTATTATTCTTATATTCAAATATCATGATTTAAATAAATGAAAAACGATTCTTCAGTGAACTTTTTCACCTTCAATATACCTCTGATTGTGTTTGGCGTTCGTCTTAGTGGTTTTTTTTTTTTGAAGGATTTGCAAATATATCTGCATCGTATTGTGGTATTGAATAGAATATGTTTGTCATTTTATATGGTTTTGTTTCAACAAAATCTAACTAAATTTAAAATTTCATTTCTTGTGATTCTTGTACAATCGACTCTTGCCTTTTTTTTCTATGTTTATTTGACATTTACGTTCCTAATCGCATGTTATAAAACGGTGAAAAGAATTTTTTTTTTTTCATGAAGCAAAAAAATAATAATCTAAGATGCTGATTAAGCGAGTAAACGGCACAGAAAAAGAAAAAAAAAAAAAAGAAACACTACATGATGTTGTTTTTTTTAACAATATATACACACGTACTTTTCGAGAATAAGAAACATAAAATGAGTAGGTGAATTTTGTTTCGTATCACTTTTCACTTTCTTGTCAAGTGTCTGATTAATAATTACAAAATAAAAAACAACGAAATACAAAAATTAGAATCATATTTTATTCATAGAGCTATATAGGATATTCAATATTTCTCTTATTTTTTCTATCATTCACACCTATGTGAGCATTCGTCACTATTACTCAATGGAATGAAATCATTTCTCAACAGATTTTGTTCTATTTTCTTTCTTTCTTTCTTTTTCACGCTGCTTAAGTTTTATATTTTTATGATCAAAATAATAAGGTATGAATGTAATATTACTAAAATTCACCTATGTTTTGTTCAAATAAAATTATTAAAATTATTATTAGTTAACTTAGTAATAAATGTCATGTTATAAAAAGTAGATAAAGTCAACTCATTGACATTGTAGAGAATACGAGAGAATTGAAACAGAACTGTTTTAATTGTTCAGAACGAAAACAAAAAAGAGGAAGAAAAGAAGGTTAGAACAGTATGGAGAGCTCAGAAAACGGAACTGTTCAAGGCGATAGATAGACGCATCGATTTGTCTCAATTAATAGCTAAGCTTTATCTTTATCTTCCTCTTTGTCGTAAACAAAATGAAAGTCACGTTCTCCAATATCAACAAAAAAAAAAAAAATTGTCGACAGAGCTATTGTCTCAAGGTCGCATCTATTCTAGTATAGAAGCTGTTCATTAGTCTCTTCTTTCATTGTGTTTTTTCTTCGTTTTATTGACAAACTTCGAGCGTATATGAGTAGTCGCGTATTCATTTATTTCTCTATCAATATATAATTCGTATATATATATAGATTTGTCCAATGGCTTTGCACAAATTTTCCAAACCAAAATCATTTCATATCGATTATTGTGGTTGTACAGCAGCAACATTACTTTTAAATGAATCATCAATACGAGATGCAATTAATTTCATTCGACAAGTTAAATCAAAAAGTGAATTTGTTAAAACAACAATATCAGTATGTCGAGATGGTATTAAAATTATCTATGAAAATGAACATAAATATTCTACACATGTACCATCTTCTATGATTGCTGGTTCAGTTATTGGAAAATCTCCTTTCAATGATACTCTTGGTATGTAATTTAATTAAAAATTTTAATTAAAAACAAAAAAAACTTTTTTTGTTTTTTGTTTCGAAAATTAGGTGTTGTTTATATATCACCACTTACTGGTCGTCATTATCCAGCGTTTGTTCATGTATACCGGTGTGATTCAACACGTACTGCTCAAAAATTATTACTTCGTATTCGTGCATATACACTTAATGATAATCATCGTTCTAAAATTGTACAACTCGAACAACATTTACTTCAACATAATTTACTTAATTTAGATAATTATGAAAGTTCAAAATCACAATTACAATCATCAAATACAACAACTTTAAAATCTAATAAAACAAGTGCAAATATTTCATCTTCATCAACAAATTCTAGTAGTCGACAAGATAAAATCGATCCAGTTAAATCAATTACAGAAGAATTTCAAAAAAAACTTCATTCACAAGAACCTCTTCTATTTCCACCTAAAGATTATGATACAGTACATGTATCACATGGAAATATTCAACGAGCACAAGCATGGAAAAGTACAGAGGTAAAAAGAAAAACATTTTGATTGAATAAGAATTTCGTGCATACACTTTCTCTTTTCACATTCCGCACACTCACTCGTACTTCACATTAAAGGTTGCCTTACTTTTTTTCGATCAATCAATAACTCATTACATGTATTGAACAGAGAGTTCTACTTAAAGAAAAAAAAAAGCCTTGTTGGCGTCAGTATATATATAACGAAAAGATGTCAATTTAGTAAGCAATTCCTTTCTCTCTCTCTCTCTCTCTCTCACTCGTTTTTGATCTGAGGTAGCTACCGCCATCGTTTCTTCGTCATCATCTTCTCTTGGGCAAATACATACACTCTCACTGTTCACGACGTCTCTTGCTTTACAATCAACGACAACATTTTAATCACATCATCCCTTGATAAAGAGATTTGCATTTCTCTCTTTTTGTTCTTTATTCTGTCTGAGTGAAAAAAGACTAGTCAATGAACATTTTTTATACGTGCTATTCGAGTCAAATGACATAATGGTTCGTTTCAAACATGATAGTTTACTACCAACAAATTTTACTAATATTTTAACTGCTAAATTACGTTCTACTTATGGCTTATGTTTTAGATCAAAGGTGATCGAAATTTTATTTGAAAAATTTCATATAAATCTAATAAAAAAGAAAACTATCATATTGATTTCATTTACTTTGTTCTAGCCGACAATTGTTGGTTATACACCAATCGATCCAGATAATAATCACAAACGACGGCAAGCATTGTCAAATTATCATTCATCAAGTAATAACTCTACTACAGATGAATTTAAAAAAAACGAATTGAATAATGGTGTTATTGAAAAAAATGGAAGACCACGTTTTTCAACTCAAAGAAGTGATACCACTATTGATCCGGTATAGAATTTAAAAAAAAAACAAAATGATCTTTCGAAAAACTAAAAATTATTATTATTGCTCTTTTTTTGATTTTCATTTAGGTGGAAACTGTCAGTTTAGCATTTGAATTTCTTAAAGATGAAACAGGTTCAATAGTGACTGATAATGATGGTAATATTGAACATATTGAAAATGAACAACAAGATAAACAACCAGTTTTTCGTTTTCGACCACCACAAATTACTGCTATTACTAAGTATATATTTTTATTCATTATTTTTTTTTTTTTTAATTATATATCTTATATTGATTCTAATAGAAAACTTTTTACTCGTAATAATAATAATAATTATGAATTACAAAATAGTTTACCACAACCAAATTCATCATTGAAAAATGAATTAAATGCTTATTATCATCATACTCATTATCAACATCAACATCAACAAATACCACATGAATATCGAACTCGTTCTGAAACAAATTTATTATATGATCCACAGCTTAGAATGCATCTTAGTCCTCGTTATGAAAGTCGTCTTGTCAATGGAAGTGGTGCACCTATTTCAACAAATCCACTTTGGACAGCTACATCACCAGTAATGATCGGTTCACAACCAAATTTATTGTCATATGAAACTCCAATCGTTCAAGCATCTTATAATCATAATCATAATAATCATCATCATCGTCATCAATTAAGTCCACCAATTCAACGACGAACTACTTCAGCACCTTTACAACATCCACTTTATGCAAGTTACCCAAATAATAAACTATCTGTAAAGACACAACTACAACAAAATCAACAAAAACGACCAGGACCAGGACCAGCACCACCACCACCTCCACCACCATCGAACTCTCATAGAAAACAACCGACAAAATTGCAATATCTCGATACAAATGAATTTATTCTACGTGCATCCGATGGACAATTGTTAAATAATTCTCAATATTCTAATCGACCTGTAGCAGGTATATCACGAGATTATAGACCTCATTCGATCAATGTAAATGGCCATGGTAGTACTATGCTCGATGTATACTATTGATTTTTGTTTTTTTTTTCTTTCTTGTTTTTCCTTTTTTTTATATAAATTTATATTCATTTTTTTCTTGTTCTTGCAAGAGCAGTGACATGTTATTTATCTACGTAAGTACGTAGTATCTGTCATAATTCATGAGATAATTTCTACTTTTCACTTCATTTTTCATACAATATTTGTTAATATTCTCAATTAAGTAAAATATTTTCAGCTGTATGCACCATTTTTGAATAGTACAATTGTCTTCTATTGATTTTTTTTTTGAAAAATACTTTTTTCGATGATCATTAGAAGTGCTATCAAAACTTTTCTTCTCTTTGTAATATTTATGTAAGTAACAAAAACAAAATTCAATTTTGTCGACATCTTTAAATTCGTTCATGCCATTATATCATTAATGGTTCTGTATTTCAATCATCAAAAGCGTAACGTAGTATATGTAATATTCTTTGACCTTCAAATATATATGTACTCTAAAATACTGAATTATTAAGAATGAAGACATTTTCTGACATCAATATTCAAGCAATTGTGATCTACAATTTGATATAGATAATAAGCTATATTAATCGTGGCACAAGCTAAGTTATAAAATGCATTTTAAATTTTCTAATAACTTTTCTATTGTAATCTTTTCATTGATAGTATCCGTACTTAAGGAAATAACCTTTCACGTTTCGCTAGAAATGATGATTCAAATATTAAAAATAGAATAAAAACAACTAGAATATTCATCCGTACTCTCAGATAAACTTCAGACCACTGCCATTACCTACGCTCGCTGTTTCATACCAATAGCGAGGTAGGAAATACAGTGAGATGAAGATCCGAGTTTTTTCTTCAACTTCACTATCATGGACGATCATTTGTCAATTCGACTACTGTCCAGCAATGCTTCGCTCCTTTATATGTCCAAGCGAGGTATAACTGAACAGTTGTCTATTTGACATAAAGTGAATTTCTTGTTTTTTCATTTTCAAAAAAAAAATGGAATATTGATGGCGTCATGTACTGGCTGCTGTACTTCGCTCACATTCGATTCGCGTAGCGTGGCACAAGCAGAACAGTAGCTTACACACATCAGCGGAATTTGATATATAGAAAGAAAAAAAAATAATAAAGTAAATAAAATCTTACGCGCAGTGGCACCGTCCCTGTATCTCCCTAGTCTTGTCGTTTACTCAAGGGAGGCACATCGAACAGTGAAAATGCACGAAGAAGAGATAAATCCATGGCAAACGATTTTCAAACAGTTTTCACCGGTCAACAGACACGCCGAGTCATGTATCAAAGCGTTCCTGATAACCGGTGATTGCGTCCGAAAAAGTTTTGTACTACTTTTCTTCTCACCTTTTTTCTTACCAAATCGACGTTAACAAACAAGTGGAATCATATACATATGACCTCCGCTTTTTATAGATCGTGACAGACGGACGGACGAAACAGCCACAGACTAGAGAAAAGAGAGGGAGAGAGAAAAAACGAAATGATATAATCGGGAGCAAGAGAGTGATGCGTCGACGATGAAAACAAAGGATATACATATATGTGCCTCGATGATATATGTTGCCCTCTAATACGTATACATGTGATCTATATCGACGACCAGTATGACGAGAGAAAAACAAAAGTGATGGTTGTTTCTCTTTTTTCCATATAATATTTTGTCTATAGAGACAGACTGAAACTATCGATCGAAAAAGAAGATTCATATTAAATCGAATTTTCTTGAATGTATCTTATGTTACTTGTAGTTCATACCTTTTGTTGTTTTTTGATGATATGCAATAGTATTACTGCATTTCCATACGTATTATGGAAAATAGGAAAGAGATTGATCAGAAAATTTTGAAAAGTAATTTTTTGTTTTCTTAAATTATGTCACATTTGCAAACAAAAAAAAAATACAAAGAAAATCAGAAAAAAAAATAGTACAACAAAAGAAACAGATAACAATGAACGCTTGATACATTGTTTGCATGAATGTATAAACTGATTTGTTGTATGAACAAAATTAGTAATATAGATTGACTCGATTAATTAAATAAGAGAAAAAGAAATACACTGTTTGAATACCTGGAAAGACAAGCCAAGAATATGAACAGCAAAAAAAAAAAATTTACAAGTTCGTTCTAAGTATATTTGTTGTTTCATCATCAGAAACATATGCATGATTAATTTCAACGTCAGTTAATACTGAATGCATTCGTTCATCATTATCATCTGTTTCAATGTCACTAACATTTTCAATGACTGAATGTGCTGATATATTTGTATTATCAGTTGTACCACCAGGTGAACCAACAAAAAAATTTGCAGCACGAGGTGTTGTATATGATGTTGATAAAGAATCATGTAAACTTTCATATGTTGTTATTGTTGTTGCTGTTGTATTATTATCGATATCTTCGGAATCTGATTGATGTAAATGAACATGTGATAATTCTGGATTTGAATAACTTTGAGAATTCGTTAATGGTCGATTGAATACAAGATCATTAGTAGTTATATGATTTGTTGTTGTTATTTGTCTTAATAGTGACGATGCATCATGGTTGTCATCATCATCCTCATCATCATCATCAGTATCTGATGATCCATTAATAGCAGTTGTAGAATTAGAAGCACCAGTACCTGTTGAATTTAGGATTCGACGTTCTAAAATTGAAAAATTTATTAAATACAGGAAATCTACTTAAAAGTATGATCATTGACAGAAATATAAAACTTTAGTTTATTTCTTATCTGGAAAGAATGAATCGATCTTATAAATTTTATCAATCCTGGACTTAGTAACATTGCTATCTTTTTTTTTGAAGTGTCTAGTGTCTTATCTATCGTGAGGGTCAAAGTGGTGGCGCACATTCAAAGATTAGTTTGACTCTTCCGGAATTTGTGGTTCTTCTATAATGTGCTGTGTGTCTATGCTCTCGAAAACAGGTATTCGCCATTCCGAAAGAGAAAAGCTAGGTAGAGCACTGGTAGGTTCATATCAAAATAAATGTTACTTCACATTTACACAATTTATAGATCTCGACAATGCTAGAAATATGAAATAGTCGTTAAATTGTAATCTATGAATAAGTTATTGGAATTCAATTAAAGAGACTAATTTTTGTAACACACTATATATTTACCTCTTTGACGAATTCTTGAAAGAATTGGAACTGAAATATCATTAGATGGTTGTATTAATGGTGTTTGTTCTGTAGGTGTTCGATCGTTATTTTCTTCTTCATCTGAATTATCATGATTAGGAAATACATAACGTTTACATATTGGACATTGACGTCGATTATTTAATAACCATGGATCAATACATTTCATATGATAAGCTAAAAAATAATTGAATGATAAGAAAATAAAATTAAAAAAAGCTCTAGAGTCAAAGAAAGAACAAACAAACCATGATCACAAGGTAATATACGTATTTTTGCACCTTCTTCAAAATCATCTAAACAAATAGCACAAACTTCCCAACGATCACCTTTAGCAAATTTTTTTATTTTTAATTGTTTAAGTGCTGAACGTGGTAAACGATGACGACGTAAACGACGTCGTTGTAAATAACATTTAACCAACTAAACAAAATATAATGAAAATATTTTTCTATTGAATTCATGGTCTTACCATAAAACCAATAAGACCAAAAAATGATACACTAATAATACAAATAAATGGTATTAAATAAGCACCAAAGTTAAATTGTCCTGTAGTTATTTTTACATGAAATCTATTAATAAAAAACAAAAAGAAAAGAAACAATTCCATCAATGAAAATAAATATACAGGATGAATCATAAATAGCACTACGATAAAAAATTGAAATATCTCTGCGTCTGTTCGGTCGAATTAGCTGATTTTTTTGATTAGTGGTAGTTTGTTTGAAGTTTTTTTTTGTTATACGGATAATGTAAACAAATACTATTGTCAAGTAAGAAAAATACATATGAAGCCTTCCATAGAAAATCATCAGTTGTCATCGAAGAGAATAATAATAAGAAGTCAAAATGAAATATATTGATACATATAGAACAAGTTTCTAAAACTAGTTAGTTTAAATGTTGAAAGTCGTGTCTCTTAAGTAAATTACATAATCGCAGGTCTTTGAACACAAACTTCCTTGCAACAAAAATTTTTTCATGTTTAAAAATTCGAAATTTTATAATCATTGACGTTTAAACTAACTAGTTCTGAAAATTTGCTTTATATGTATCAATATAGTTCGTTTTAATTTATTATTATTCTCTTAGATGAAAACTAAAAATTATCTATGAAATGTTTCATATGTATTTTTCTTACTTGATAACAGCTAAAACTGTTTGCATAAAAAAATTATCCCATTTCGTTGAACCAATATCGAGATATTTCATTTCTTTATCTTAGTGTTATTTATAGTCCACTCTGTAAATAAAATATTTACTGTGGAGTTGAATTTGCTGTTGTTTCATTATATAAATAATTTAAGATAATTGATAATCCATCAGAATACATTATTAATGTTGATGGTATCTGTATACCTAACATTAAAAAAAAACTTCTATTGAATATGAATTATATTATTTTTTTTCTTTACTTCTTCCATGTGGACCCATTGTGATAAGTGCATCTTCATAATTATAAATAATAACTGCACTAAAATTTGCATTTTGAGCATTTAGTACCTAAAAACAAAAATAAAATACTAGAAAATGATTAAAACAAAACTAACCTTAAGATCAAAATCACACATATCGTCTAATTTTGTACGAGGAATAAGTGCAATCCAACGATATTTAGATGTCGGAATATTAGGTGGTGGTGCTACTTTAGTACATGCATTTTTTGGATTTGTTAAGATCACATATCCCTTTGTAAAGAAAAAAAATACAATTTAAAAATATATATTAAAAAAACCAATCTATTACTGTTATTCCATTGGATGGAAATGCTGGACCAAAATTCGCTGGTTGATCATCATAATCTTCAACAGCTTTATTTACTGCATTATACTAATAAAAGAAAAT